AGGGGGGGGGGGGGTATGGCAAGTTCTGATTGCTTGGGTTTCATATTCAAATTGAAAAAGAGTCGAGGGATTTTTCAGGGGAGTGAATATTGTTGGATTTGAATACTCCACTTGCAATTTTCCGGAGTGAGTTAAAGAAGCGTTGGAACGTTAAAGTTGAGTTCGAACGAAAATACATAAATCCGGGGGGGATAATGTTGGGTACTGGGCGTACGTTGCCGTTTGACCCGGATCTCAACGATTTACAAGGCAAACTTTGGGAGAGGAGTGTGAGCACGTTTTCCGTGATATTCCCGGGCTGGCGGCATCGTTTGGAGCTTCTTAAGGGAGTTTGTCACGTTGCTATCCTCCTCACACACAAGTTCCTCTTACATTTTCCGACTGGTTGTGTCGGAGTAGTGGTTTATATACTCGTGATATGTACTGGGGTTTTTGGGGAAAGAGAATTAAACGACCGGTGGGTTTGCAAAGAGTGAGAGATGGCAATGAGGGATGGGGGGGAGTTATGAAATCGGACGGTGGTATTTATGAGGAAACTTGCTCGTGTTTCAGGGGCCTGCGAATTTCCGGCAGGCTGGGCGGGACAATGGTTCCAGTCCGGAAAACCATCACCAGTCACTGTTAATGCTACCAACATTGGTGAACGTACCTGCATTGAGAAGAAGGGGGATATCTACGTCGTTTATGATAAGTGAGTATCGAAATATTGTTTTATCGATTCGGAGGGTGAATGGGAATTTTAAGGAAATTAGTACAATGATTTTTTGGGCCGGCGGGGAGCGGGTTTGGGGGAAAGTGACAGGAAATGTTTTTGGTGGGAAATTTTATTCTCGGCAAAAACGGGTTTTCAACGTTTTTTTCTGAAATCTTTAGTTTTTGAGATAAAATGGAGAATTTGCGGAGAAGTTCTAGTTCACTGTTTTCGTGGACTTTTTTAAATTTTTGAATAGAATTTTCGGCATATTTTTTGGAAATTTTTATGAAGTGGGAGTTTTACTGAGAAAGTCAATGAAAATTTCCCATTTCAATTCAATTATTCAATTAATATTAATAGAAATTTGTAAAATTCAGGTGAATAAATTCTTGCATTCCGATTAATACAAAATTCCACGTAATTCGGGACTAAATATCTATCTTTCGATTGAAAATTCACGTGAATCGGGAAATTTTTGTTCTCCTGCGGCTCAAGAATTCAGAAATTCCGTTGAATTTCCAGTGAAATTCTCAAAGACAATTTTTCCGAACAAGACACCACTCATTTGTCTGTAAATATCACTAAAAGAAAAATATAATAAAAGATATTCGAATACATTTTTTTAGAGAATTGAGATTGCTCGCCATTTCTTTCTAAAATCACAATTTTTTTTATAAAAAGAGAATTACCGAAACATGCTCAATTCCACTTCTAAAATGGAAGAGGTTTAGAAAATAATATCCCAAGAACTCAGCGTAATAGATTTAATTCTTTTAAAAAAACGCCTTTTACCTAAACCAAAAAATAAACAAAATAACAAAAATGACATTTTAATAAATTTATTAACCAATTTTAATTTCTATTTCAACAGTTCCACTTCTGGCGAAAACTACAACTGCCTAATAATAAACGACCGTCACTCGAACGTCATCCAGTTTCGCGAAGGTGAGTAACCTCACGATACCATGATAGCCAATAACTGCAGTAAAAAAAATAACAAACAGAAAACATGAAGCGAAAGAACATTGTCACGAGAAACACGATACCACTTACTCCGCTATGGTTTGCATTTCTTGACGGGCACCCAGTATATAAACACGGAGAATATCGTGATACCTTATCAACAGAGGCGCGTCGTATCGCTGATGGATTTTATGAGATCGACTCACCCACGGTGACATTCCTCGCGGCTAAAATCATCATTCCGGTGTATCATATTTCATGATAAAACTTATCTAAATTGATATTGTGGGTCCTGATGCAGAGCACTTACTCCGGTAATTCAGCGCTCGAATTATTCCTCTACTCCTCTCTTTTGCCGTGTTCTCGTACGCAGATTCAAGTCGGCAATTATGCCCAATTAGGAAGGAACGAGTTTCGACTGTATTCTTCCATTTAAAAACTCTCAAAAGAAATTGTAGAATGTTTGAATGGTGGGGATACGCACAGAAAAAGTGATGATAGTTTTCAGGAAAAATTGCTGTATTGATAGAATATATCGAGAATGCAGATTGCGAACTTTACATTTCGATCAAATGAATTGGTTACTTGATCCTATAAATGAACTATTTAATTAATTAAATCAAAACACCACAATTGGAAAAATTATGAGTGGAAAAATTGCAGATTGAGAGTATTATTTCATTCGAATTTATTTCTCCCGACATAATTAGATTTTTTCAATACAATTTTACAGATTTTTCTTTTGAAATTGAAAAAACAATTTTTTATCCTAAAAATAATGCCCAATTTTTTTTTTAATTAGTAACTTTGTCCTGAAGACCATAAATTTGTTTTCTCTCTGCAAAATAAAACATCCGACGTCTGAAAGGGATCGATATCATAATCGATTCATTGGAACACCAACAAAAAATATTCTTTTGATTTCGCCATGGCCGCGACTCGAGAACAAAGCCCCAACGCAACAGATAAAGAAGAGGAAGTGTGAGAAAAATAAGTGATAGTTTTCACTAAAATCTCTATATTCAAAAACTCTGTTGTGATAGAATTTATCGACAATGCAGACTACAAATTTTTTATTTCGATCAAAGTAATTGTTTATTTGATCCTGTAAATGAATTATTCCTTCAAAAACATCAAAATATTTCAATAAAAAAAATATAAACTATAGGAGTAGTACTCACTGAAAATAATTACAATCTAGTTGTAATTAAAAAAACAATTTTAAAAAACTGGGTATTCTTTTTATTCTAAAAACAATGGCCAATTTTCTTTGAATCAGTAACTTTGTCCTGAAGACCGTAAAATTTCTTTCTCTCTGCAAAATAAAACATCAGTCGTCTGAAAGGGGTCAATAGCATAATTGATCCATTGAAACACCAACAAAAAATGTTCTCTTCATTTCGCCATGGCCCACGATTCGAGAACAAAGCCCCAACACAACAGATAAAGATGAGGAAGGGTGAGGGGTCTAGATATATGATTTTCGCGGGGATATCCTCTTGTTGTGAAAGTATCCAGAGCCATGAGAGCATCTACAAAACGGAACATTGGCCCATCTAACGCTCAATGATTCCCGAGGTTGACGGGCGTGCCGTAACTAAAACTGACGTCCATTGTATCCTGCATTCGCCGCTGGGCCCTCACAGCATATACCACTTCCAACCTATTCCCTCGACCTATCCAAACTACTACGATATGCCATATGGCGGATTGCCCGGGCGTTTTAGTGGATTATCGAATGTACAATGGAAAAAGAGGGAAAAAAATTTCATCCTGTGACAGAATGATGATGTGCCATGTTCCAAATTCACAAAGAGAATTTCAGAATGACTGGAATTGCGATTGAAATTGCTTCAATCATATTTCGGACATTTTTTTTCGGGGGGTTTTTTCTGCCTGCAATTTAACTGAGCGGGTTTTTAAATTTTTTCAGCTTTCTTCTTTTTACTCTGCGTGAAAAAATAAATTTCATTGACAGTTCAGTAGTAATTCTTAGGAGAATCAGGGAAATTCAGATTTCATTGAAAATTCAATGGATTGCAAATTTGTGGGCAGCAGGAAGAAAAAATGCTCCAATTTGCGTGAACTCTCATGATTTTTATCAATTTTTATGGGATTATTGAATTCAATTCTACAGTTACGATTGAGTTTTTCAATGAAATCAATCAGACAGGGACTAAAGTCTGGCAAATTTCCGAAAAATGCACCAGGAATTCCATACGGAAAGAAACGTTGAATCAAAAGTACTAGATAATCGTAGCAAATTTCACTATGCACTGTTAGAAAAAAAATGACATTTCATGGACAGTTGACTACAAATTTTCAGAACAGTGACACTGAATGCGATTTAGGGGGGGAAATCATGAAATGTCAGATTTCACTGAAAGTTCGATGTTATTTGGCACTGAATTTTCCTAAATCGCATTCAGTGTTACTGTCCTAAAAATTCAAGAATATATTCACCACATTTTCAGGGAAAAATGGAACTGAAACTTACAGCTTCTCTTTAAATTTTCCATGAAATTCTGAATTTTCAGTGACGAAACTCCTTGAAATTTCAGGGGTAATTAAATTCCATAAAAATTTCCAAAAGTTTACCGGAAATTTCAGACAAAATTTTTTAACAGCGCAGCCAAAAATTTCCAACAGTTTACAATTTATCCCAAATTATGTCTAAATGCGAAGTAAAATTTTCCCCCAAAAGAAAAACTGAGAGAAAATTGTATGAAATCCCTTTTCTTCACTCCGAATTCAGCCATTTCATTGTTTTTTTGGGATTCTCAACGTCATGTCAGTCTGATACATTTCCGTCCGTATTATCCAGCAGTATCTCGAGGACGAATCATTTACCCCCCGATGCGTTATGCCTCAGAGACACCGTGAAGTACGCAGACTGCGGGTAAACTCGGAAATGTAATTTCCCAGTTGAGCGAGTTCTCATGATATCAGCCACTGTGATTTTATCGTTAATGATCTTAGGTATGAGATACAACCGAGGAATCATCCTTATCAGTTGTGCAATCACACTTTATGGGGGATAAGTCAGAGTCGGGAGTTATTTACCAGCTTCGGGATGATTCTCGTAAATTCTTATGAATCAAATTTTTTTGGGGGGAGTCATAAATAAGACTGATCGATTTCATTTGGAATTTGTCGAATCATGCGCAAATAAGTTTTCTCTTCGGTCGAGGCGACTTGTTACTACAATGTCCCCTACATTTCACATAACTAATTAAAAAATTATTTATTGACAATTCTCTTCATTTTTATATGGATTAAGCTGCCTGCAGAGACATATTTGAAGAACTTTAATAACCAGCTGTCAAATTTCAATCACTAGTTATTAAATTAGTCGTTAAATTGACATTAGACATAAAAATGTGGCTTATTGGTTTCGTGATGACTGAAATTTTGAATAACTTAATAGATAAGATATTTATAATGTCTTGAATTACAAGTCACGAAATTTAAGACATTGTTTCTGTCTCAGTTGAAGAGACTCGAAGAATATTTATGACGGCGGCACTACTACAAGACATTAACCCTATTAAGATATGGAATGATTTCATGTTTTTGGTATTTTCTTCCAATTTATTGAAGTTCTGAATTTATTGAGAGGGTCGGAAGGATGACGCGGGTGGGAAACGTTGAATGAATTCATCATCGTTTGATGCTATGACCCAAAAATCAATAAAATACTTCATTTTTCAGTTTAATTATTCTATGAAAATTCAGAAAAATCTGTAAAATTCAGGGAAAAATTGAAAATTCAATCAAGTCGCGAAATTTCCATCTCACTCTCACATAAAACTCACGAATTTCCTTGAATTCCACCTAAAACCATAAATTTCCTAACCATTTTCCCCTGAATCCAATTCATTGTCACTCTTATCAGAAGTACCACCATATTTTCCCTGAAATTTCAAAAAAATTCCAACAGAAAACTGTAGAAAAGTTTTTTCGGCCATGTGACAAACGATGTTCTGCAGCACGCAGTCCACTCCCACCACACCTTACAAAATCAACAATGTCCATACACGTGAGACATCATAATCTCCTCCCAAAAACCCCCCGAAGAAAAAAAAACCTGTGAAACTTTTCCCCACAAAGCCTCCCCAATTACAAAAATAACAATGAACAGTGATAAAACCAACTCGACTTCCTCCACCCAACCTCGTTACAATTTTTACTCTCTTATCACCCAAGATGAATCAACTGATTTACCCAGCATACCTCACTTTTTGGTATCCATCCCCACCAATGCCTCGAAAACCCACCGGTGGGAAGCTTGGTAACTTTCGGGTTGGATGTAATTTCCCAGTCGAGTGAGTTCTCGCGATTAAGGGGTCGACACGGTGCAACGATCCTTTCCTCAGTTTCAGTGTAGTCCTCTCGTCTCCGTCTGTACTTTAAACAGTGTACATATACCCACCAACATAAAGCACACCGAGCCAAGGGGGATGAGTCTTCTCCCGTCCGTCTTCTCCTTCTCTCGAATCTTGTCTGTTCTGTTCTGCTCTATTCCGCTCTATTCTGCTCTACTCTTCTCTACTCTGTTCCGTTGTCGCTGGAGGACTCCACCCCTTCTCTTCCCACCCCTCCCTCCCCTCCCCATTACCCTCTCACCCACTGCAGATGGAATTTCGTAGTCGGCATACACATTTCGGGAATGGCCGAGTAAAATGAGAATGGTAACCGCGATAATTCGCACTCCCGCACGCACAATCCAGCGTTTGGCCGGGCGTGTAACATCGTTACCCAGTCAGCAGGCATCCCCTCACCTAGAATTCAACTATTGCCGTGTATATAACCGTGTATACGGCTCTCAGTAACGTGGATAACCCGTTGGAGGCCAACACCGAGCGAAATCCCGCCATTACAGAAGCAATCTGAAACGCGAGTGTTTCGGGTATAAACGTGGTTATGCATTTCCGCCCTCTCTCCCTCGGCCACTGTGAGGGCATCAACCCATCCCTCTTTAC